AGTTGTTTAAGATGTGTTTAATCAATTTTTTTCTCTTCCTTCCTAACATAGGCCTGTACTACAAGGCCCGCCCCCCGCCTTAGTACAGCTTTTGAATTATACCACAGTTCTGATTAGTTTCCAGGAATCTTTATTTCCTCCTTGATTTCTTTGATCCAATTGTTACTTAGCAGTGTTTTGTTCTGCTTCCATTTATTGGCGTTTTTCTGCAGTGTGTGTGTGTGTGTTGGGACTACATCAGTAGTGATGTTACTTCTGGCTCTGTGCTCAGGAAATCTATGTTGTGTCAGGGATTGAACCAGGGCTGTCCGCATGCAAGGCAATTATCACCCAGCCCACCATCTTCTTTCTGCGGTTTACTTCTACCTTCACTGCATTGTGTTCTGAGAAAATATTTGGTATTATATCTGTAGCACCGTAGCACTATCCTCACGTTGTTCATCGATTTGCTCAAGCGGGGACCAGTAATGTCTCCATTGTGAGACTTGCTACTGTTTTTGGCATATCAAATAGGTCGTGGGTAGCTTACCAGGCTTTTTCGTGTGGGTGCAATACTCTCAGTATAAATAAAATTATAAAAACTGAAAAAAAAAAGGTGGAATTCATGCCCAATTCAATCAGCCTAATCAGTGGCTGAATAAATAGCAGTACTACTAAAAAAAAAAGTGCATTAACAATGTTGAGCAGTATTCACACAATAAATTTGAGAATTTAGAAGTGGGGGTGGGACCCGCAGAACCCCCCAAAGGCTAAGTCTGGGATAATTTCTGTAACAAAATGATAGTAAGACTATAAGATAATAATAATAGCATATGATGGCCACTAGTCTATATTGATTTTAATAAATGACTGAAATGAAGCAAAAGTCCTTCATAGCATAATTTAAATGTAGAAATATAGAATGCAGAAAATGATAAAAAAAGAAAGTGACCATGTGACATATTCTGAAGCAGTAATATATGCAGTTGTTGGGGACTGGCCTTGGTAGCCCTGCTTGTTTTCCCTGAGAAGCGAATGAGCAAGGGAAAAACTTGGCGTGTGGGAGCGCCATGCCCTGTTGATTGACTCTGTTAAGGGGGTACCAAGGGATTCGCCTTGGCCGGGTCAGAAGCCACATTCTCATTCCTGTCCTGTTTTGCTGAGAAAGTCCAAGGAACTGCCCGCATACTCAGCTGCAAAACGGAGTAAGCTAGCGGGAGCTCGCCCAACTTGCAACCCTTGGCTTTCCCACATGTTCTCTGCTGCATACTATAAAAGTCAATGACCTTTGCAACAAAGTTGCCGTATGTGCCATACAGTCTTCCCTACGCTGTCTTTGCAGCTCATTCCCTCTCTTGGGTTAACGTTCAATTAGCCGTGCAGGTCGCGGCATGAAGTAGTATTTTAGGCAAGAATCCATAGATCCTCACACTTGTGATCAGTATAGGAGAAATGGGATACTGACATGATCTCAAAAGCATTTTCCCAGAATTACAAACAGGATAAAACAAGAACTTTATAATGCAGCCAATCGGTAGACACCACTTTTTAGAGTTGTTTTCTGGGCCACCCCTGGCAGTGTTCAGGGATCACTTCCAATGGTGCACAGAGAACCACATGGGGTGAGAGCAATCAAACCCAGGTTGCTCATATGCAAGGCAAGTTAAGTGCTCTACCCACCGTACTACTGCTCCAGTCCCCTAAGACACCACTTTAGCCAAATAATCAAAGTTACAGTCACCAAAGAGACAAGTTGACATCCAATGCCTCCTCGTATGATCAATTGAGGATAAAAACAAATTCTACGTAAACATAAAAATGCTAAGCCTGAGAAACATTAAACCAAATTAGAGGGAGCCGGAGAGATAGCACAGCGGGCAGGGTGTTTGCCTTGCACACGGCCAACCCGGGTTCGGTTCCCAGAATCCCATATGGTCCCCTGGGCACCGCCAGGAGTAACTCCTGAGTGCAGATCCATGAATAACCCCCGTACCTCACCGGGTGAGACCCCAAAAAAAGCAAAAAAAAAAAAAATAGAGGCCCATGCATTAAAATACCTGACTTTTCAGTAAGTACTAAGAGCAAGAAAGGCGAAGAAATTCTGAGTTTCTTCATATTGAAGGAAACAAACTAAGAAGATAGAACAAAACTTAGCAAGTGATCCTGGACTGAATCCTAGGCCACAGAAAGGGCATTAGCAAGACAATAAAATGTGGATAGCCTATCAACCTTATATTTTTACAATATATACATATAAATGCATGGATGTATTTGGGAATCTACTTGGCAGTAATCAGGGGGGTTACGCTGACTGTGCTTGAAAGATCAGATCATTCCTAGTGGTGATCGGTGCAACCATGGTGCTGGAACTGAACATGGCTTCCTGCATGCAAAGCATGCACTCAGCCTACTGAGATTCTCTCCAGACCTAAAATATATTCTTCAGAGCTTTCTTGAGTCATTTACTCCAATTAGTAATAGCATGAAATATATCGTTGATTTCCTGAGTTTTATAGTTGTATTGGAAAGTGTTAAGATTGTTACATTAGGAAATTTCTCTGAGGGAATATAATTCCTATCTCATGTTATCCACAATGCAAGTTTGCCAAGTATCTGAGTCTTATTTACTAAATCAATGACAAGGGATGGGGAAACACCTCTTGGTGCTTGAGGGCTATTTGTGCTCAGTGATGACCCCTGGTGGTGCTAGGGGAACCGTATGTGGTGCCAGGCTTGCAAGTCAAGTGTCTTACCTCAGCTATTATCATTTTGTCCCAATTAATAACTTACGAAAAAAATTATTTTGTTGGTGCTAGGAGTTAAATATAGAACGTCATAGATTAACTTTTAAGGAATTATTTCAAATGTCCTTCTTATATACATGTATGTACATACAACACTATGCATGCTTCACACTATTACACATACGTGCATATTCATATTACTTCCCTGTATTATTTTAACACATAACAGCCTTTCCCCCGAATCTTTCTCTTAATGACTTTTAATATATCCTTTAAAGTTGAGCTACTTTGGGGCTGGAGCAATAGCACAGCGGGTAGGGCATTTGCCTTGCACGCGGCCAACCCGGATTCGATTCCCAGCATCCCATATGGTCCCCTGAGCACCGCCAGGAATAACTCCTGAGTGCAGAGACAGGAGTAACCCCTGTGCATCACCAGGTGTGACCCAAAAAAGCCAAAAAAAAAAATAATAAAGTTGAGCTACTTTGAATCTTCTACTTAATCAGATACTATAATGTGATGTGTATGAAGTTTATTCAAAGTAAATTACCATCTCCTCTTATAGTTCATTTGAGGAACAACTTAGTCTTTTATTATAAAGATATATAATTTAGCATACTTATAATGCTTCATTTTTCTCTCTCCATTAAATTTTAGTGTATGTATCTTTGGGAAAATAGAAAAACCTTTCTTGGGTATGTTTCTAGAAAACTACTGTTACCATCCCATCAACAGATGAAAATACCTACTCAATTGAGCAATGTAACGTTTTTTTCCTATGAAAGGCAATTTGGAGTACTAGAAGAGCAGTGCACAAAAACAGACGTGTTCCTACTTTCAAGTCAAACAAGAAAAAAGCTTACCACTCATTTTCTCCCCCTACACTATGTGAACTACTTCTTTGGTTTTTTGGGTTTGGGGGCCACACATGGCAGTGCTCAGGAGACCGTTTGGAGTCCAGGAATTGAACCTGAGTCCGCCGCATGCTTCATCCACTATGTGAATTTCTTCCCTTGCTTGCCAAGTTTCTATTTCTTTGATAATCCTTATCCTGTAGTATCTAGTGGTCAGTTTTCTTATACTAGGAAGCATATTTGCTCTGTGTGTGTATGTGTGTGTGTGTTTAACCCAAGATGATGAATATCAAGGAGTTACTATATATTAATGCTTTGACAATCTTTCTGAGGTAGACACTATTTATTGTTTCATATTTTACAAGTGAGGAACACGGAGCTTGGCGATGAAAAATAACTTGCTTAATGTCACAAAAAGTAGAAAGTGGCAGTACCCTGTGGTGCTGGGAACGGAAGTTTAGAATAATTTGTCCATGTGCTCAGACCACTGAGGTTATCTCTACAGCCCTCCAGTCTTAACTCTTAACCACATCACTGTAACTTGTTGTTTGTTTTAGAATATAACTGCCAATCCGTATTTAAATTCTGCAGTACACATAAAACATTATTTCTCCCACCCACCATGGGCATTTATCGTTCTTCCTGAATTTCAAGTCCAATGCTATTAACAACAAAAAATATACAAGCAAGGACGGAATTATTCAATTACACTGTCAACATTCTGGATTCCATACATAAGTTAACTAAATCACTGTTACTCATATAACTCAAACTGCTTATTTTATTTCCTTAACAATAAACAGTAATAACACAACAATTTACTTGCAACAAAGCTATCAACAAAGCAAAATAAAAAAAAAGCTAATTAAGAGGCATTACTTCAGCTCAAATTAGCTATCTCCTTTAAACAGGAAAAACTACCATTAGCCAAGTGGTTCTCAAACCTGTCTGCACAGTCCAGGAAGGGAGGGTGGGGGTGAGAAGAATCGGTGCTGAAAATAATAAATATCCCTAAGCCCACCTCAAAATAACTAAAAATCTCTCAAGAGTAGGACCTACGCAAAACATCTCTGAAGTACTATCAATGTTGAGAACTACAAGTCTAAAGTAACGCGCAGTAAAAAACATGCCGTGAAAACAATTCAAAACCAATAAATTAAGAAATGTGATAAACTTCTTTTTCTCTGGGAAAAGAGGGCAGGGGAAAGCGCCTACTAATTTCTCACTGTTCTTTATTTTTGACTGCCCATAGCAGAATCTAACTATACCAAACACTGGAAATTATGCAAACATCTGACTGAAATAGAAATCTTCACATTTAGAAAGTTCTTTTGAAACAATACCAGCTTTCAGAAAGAAAGTCCCGCATTTTCAGTTTGCATAGATATTTAAGTTGGCTGTGAAGTCAACTAAGAAAAACCGGTAAAATTAGAAAGCATTTTATTATTAACAATTATTATAAAACAATATTTATTTCAGGTATCACAAACAAACTTTTTTGGTGCAAACGAGAGGAAAATTTGAATGTTTTTCATCTATTTCCAAAACTATCCAAATTCCTCTTCTAATATCAGTATCACCAAATTTGTAACCTAAACAAAACTCTTTAGAACACACACATAAAATACGTCCCCCGTAACTGCACTAGATTCCTGACAAAACCTCTGCTGGGAGGTTCAGTAGTGACCACAGATATTCAACTTTAAAACACCTTTTCCTCATCTTCCAGGTTTGGAATGACAGCACATCAAGTACAGAAAATAACTCTTTTCCGTAAGAATACATAAATTCACTACAGGATTTCTTCTGAGTCAGAGAAATCCATTTGTTCAGTTCCTGCTGTCAGGATTCCATGTCAACCTCGACCTCTTCATTCTTGTCCTGGAGCTTTGCTTTGGCCAGGTTGTCCTCAGTTATAGCTTCAATGTCTGCCAGATCAATAGGTGGTAAAGGATTCCGCCAGTACTGGAAGGTGTTATACTGCCAAAAGTCTTCATTGAGCTTTGGACGGAAGAAAAGATATGAAAGCAGGTTAGTGACATTGAAAAAGTAACCCTCTTTGGACTGGAGGGATGGCTCAACGGGTCGGAGCATCTGCACTGCATGCACAATGGCGAAGGTCTGAGTACTGGTACTACGTGTGGTCCAAGTCAAATATGAGCCCAGCACATGAGCCAGAAAGAGCCTTGAGCACTGCTGGGTAAGGGCCCCCCCCCCAACCAAAACTACAAAACAATAATAATAATAATAATAATAAACCTTGTTTGTTTGTTTGTTTTAAAAGCAAATACATAATCAGAATTTGAAGCCTTTGACTCTGCATCTGCAACAAAAAATGCATTTCCAAATCTAATTGAAATATCTTATGGACTCAGTAAATCTTTGTATTTTCATGGATTTGAGAATGTCTAAGTGGCCTGGGCCGACGACAGTATGTGGGCAGCTTGCCTTCTACAAGACCTTTTAAAGTTGAATCCGACAGTCCCCTCCCACCAAGTCCTGCCAGCATTAATCCCTGAGCAATGTGCCAGGAATAAACCCTGAGCACTTCTGAGTGTGGCCCAAATACCAAAGAGAGAGAGAGACAGAGAGATAGTATAAGAAGTTTTAAAAGAATTTCCTCGAAGAGTATCTCTCGTAACATTTTTCTCCTGCTTTTCGACTTAATGTTTTACTCTTCAGTGAGGAAAATCATTTTAAATCATGCCTCTTATAACTTATTTTTGGTCGTTTTCCTAAAGCTTAGTATTTTAAGGGTTTAAGTTAAGATGCTTCAGCAACTTTCTAGAAAGAATTAGAAACTAGTATTAGATATTAGCAATAAAAATCTCAAACTTAACAGTTTATAGAAGGTGCCACTGGTATGAGGCATGACTTTTACATCAACACACGAAAATCAATAAACCCAAGGGAGAACCATCTCTGGAGACTCAACAGCTTATTCTGATTACAAAACTGTGTTGTACTCTAGAGAAAAGCTGATGTTTCAATGCCTGGCAAGACTTCAAAAGCATCTTCAAAATACTTGAGCAAAGGAAGCATTATCTATACAAGTTTCCCTGGTGACCATTTTGAAGTTGCTGAAGCCTAGATCGATTATTATACCTATTCTATTCTACATGGTGATCTTCAGATTCATACTTGGTACAGCGGTACTGTAGAACAGAAATAGAATGGAGCCACATAATTTAAAATGTTTTAGTAAATGCAGTATAAAAATATAAAATTAAACTACTTTAACCTCATATCCAAAATATTATTCTAACATATAATTATTTTTTAAATGATCATATTCTTTCTATCACACCATGTTTAAAATTCTGGCAATTATTTTATGCTTCCAGAGCACGGTCAATGAATGTCTCAACAGCTACAAGAAGTCAATTTACTAGAGAGAGAGTACAGCAGGTAGGAGCTTTCTCTACACCGAGATAACCAAAGTTCGATCTTTGCTACCCCTGAGCTCTGCCAGGACTGATCCCTGAGCAGAAAGCCAGGATAAGTCCTTTATACTTCTGGGTGGAGCCCCCAAACCAAAAAATGTCTATTGAGTACTGAGGCTGGAGTGATAGTACAGTGGGTAGGTACTGTGCTGAGCCAGGTTCAATCCCGAGAACCCCATAAGGTTCCCCGAGTCCTCCAGGAGGGATCCCTAAGTACAGAGCCAGGAATAAGCCCTAAATATCACCTGGTGTGACCCATAAGCCAAATAAATAAATAAATAAATAAATAAATAAATAAAATCTACGTTTATTCGAGGGCTAGAGTGGGTAGGGTACTTTCCTTGCACTGGCCAACTCAACTTAATATAGTCCCCTGAGCAAAATCAAGAGGAATAAAGAGTAAGCCCTGAAAACAGTCAGGTGTGACCCAAAAGAAACGAAACAAAATGTTGAGTAGTGCCTCAGCTGCTAATGGTTTAAGTATCATTAGTCTTTTGGGAATATAAACACTAGAATAAAAATGCTATATATTCACAAAAAAGCAGTGAAAAATTTCATTTCAATAAGCAAAAAACATAAATAAATAAAAACAAATCCATTTCCTGCCTATGGAAAAAACTAGTTTTCAAATGATCTATGTATACACATGGGACGATGGGCCAAAAAAACTAAAGTCTACATACAATGGAATACTATTTATGACCATAAGACAAGATGAAAGAGAGCAACTCAGAGTGAGTGACACCCTCCAGACCCCGCACGAGCTGTCTCCTAAGGGGCCACCCAGCATGGGGTGGGTGAGTTGCCCTCCCTCTGCGCATCCCCCAACAGAGTCCCAGCAGCCAAGAACCTCCAGAACGCAATTGCCACCAAGCTCACGGCAGATCTTCACTGGCTCAGACAAGCCTCATCCATGAGTGACTCTGCTGAAAAGCCCAGGTACGTGGGACTTGTGACTGAAATCTCCAGGCTCACACGGAGTTAGGAACGGACAACACCCCTCCATCTCCCTGTGCTTCCAGTAGCCCAGAAGTCATGCCACGAGCTGCCTCTGGCACCACAGAAACTCATTAACAGCCATGATCCAGAGACTCAGAAAAATCTCCTGGAAGAGAGCAACACGCGGTATCGATACCTTTGGACCCCAAAGTCAACGTCCAGGTAAAAATAAAATAGCCTCAGTTGTATAATCATATCTAAAATTTTTGAATTCCTAGAGTGCAGCGCAGCCACGCAACATCTCTGGTGTACCAAGAGTAGCAAACCGCATTCGATGGGGTGTAAAGCAAAAGGAAACCAATCTTGGGGATGGGGGGACAAATATATATATATATAAATAGATACAGAGATATAAAAACACACAGGCTCAACCTTTAACAACATATTAATAATCTTTTGTACAAGGGCTTAATGGCTCCAGGGGAAATACAATAATCTTTTTTTAAAATTTTTGTTAGTGAAACACCATGAGGTACAGTTGTAGATTTACACATTTTTGTGCTTGGGTTTCGATTATACAATGATCAAATACCCATCCCTCCACCAGTGCCCATTTTCCACCACCATGGATCCCAGTATCCCTCCCACCCACCCTCATCACCCCCATCCCACCCTCCCTCTGTGGCAGAGCATTCCCTTTTGTTCTCTCTCTCTCTCTCTTTTTGGTTGTTGTGGTTTGCAATAGAGGTACTGAGTGGCAATCATGTTCGGTCTATAGTCTACTTTCAGCATTCTTCTCCCACCCTGGAGGATCCTCCCAACACCCGTTATTTGGTGCTCCCTCCTGAGCTGCCTTTTCCCCTAGAACGCCCGGCTGGCCTCTAAGCTATGGAGTAATCCTCCTGGTACTGATCTCAGTTATTCTTGGGTCTTAATCTCCTATTTAATACAATAATCTTTACTCTTTCCCCTCTAAGGAAATGTTTTGGATCGTTTTTAGTGAAATAGTCATAACAAGCAATACAAGATAAATTATTCAGGTCCTGCTGTGGGAGCAGAGTTTGAGGGTTGGGATGGAAACATTTGAAATATGGTGGTGGGAAGGTGTAGCGGCGGTGGGATTGGTGTGAATATCAAATGTGAGAAACTATTGTGAACAACCTTATGAAAAATAAATGAAAAAAGACAAGATAAAACTGGGACTTGAAACAGTTCAGCCAGCAGGGTGCCTTAGCTGACCCAAGAGGAGGCCCCAGCACCTCAGACTGTCCCCTGAGCCCCACTAGAAGTGAACCCTGAGGGCAAATCTAGCAGGAAACGCTAAGCACTGCCGACTATGGCCTGATCCTGCCCCCTCAAGAGAAAAAAAAGACAAAATCATGCAATTTGCTGTGGCGTGGATGAATCTGGAAAGTGTGATGCTGAGTGAAATTAGTCTAAAGGAAGAGGATAGACACGTAATCAATTCCCTCTTAGACGTGGGATATAAAGAAACACACTAAGGAAACAAACACCCAAAGACAATCTACTGAGAACTGGCCTACAGAAGCAAGCATGGGGGAATGGGTCAGAGAATGGGTGGTGGGGAGATAATGGGTATGGCGCTAGCGTTTTATGCATGAAAGCCTATCACTGGGAGCTGGAGAGATAGTACAGTGGGTAAGGCATTTGCCTTGCACACAGCTGACCCAATCCCCGACACCTGCACATGGAACCCCGAACACTACCAGGAGTAATCCCTAGTACAGCTGGGTGTGGCCCAAAAACCGAGGTAGGGGGAGGAAAGAAACTCTACCACCAACAGTATTTAAACCACTACTTAAATGCGTGTATTCCCACACATACACACAAATATGTATGTATAATTTTTAAAAGGGAAAAAAGGCCTTAATGGAACTAGAGATAGTCCCCCATGCTGGAACACAGAATTTGCAAGCAGGATCCATGGTAAAGAATTTGCAAGCAGGATCCATGGTAAAGCTCCACCTGAACACCGATTGTCACGTGTGGCCCCAAAACAAAAAAAGGTCTTTAAAGGACATCAGTAGAGCAGGAGAATACAGTGGGTTCCCTGGGCATCACCAAGAGTGATCCCTGAGCACAGCTGGGTGTGTCTAAAAGGAAAAAAACACAGCACATAAGTATAATTTAGTGGCTTAAAATATTTGCCCTCAGAAAGAACTGGGTACCTATAATTCTAGCACCAGAGATCTCCATCTTAACCAGCTTTCTCCTTGGATTTTTTTAACGCAAATTAAATCTTAATATTACAGTGCTCGGAGAGCCCGGCAAGCTACCGAGAGTATTCGATATGCCAGACCCAGTAACAACAAAGTCTCCAATGGAGACGTTACTGGGCCCGCTCGAGCAAATCGACGATCAACGGGAGGGCCTTTACCTTACCTTTACCTTTTACAGTTGCTCAGTATTACTATGTATTATATAAAAGAGCCTATAAGTCATTCTCTCCCTAAGTAATAGAAAAAAACTGCCTACATTCTAAAGGAAATATGAGGGCCTCGGATGCAGCTCAGTGGCAGAACAATTGCCATGCATGTTTGATTCTAGGAACTGAAAGAAAAATTAAAAGTGAAATACAGGACAAGAGAGATGACCCAAAATGCTACAATAGTTGCTTCAGGTGGGAACCTCAGATTCGACCTTTAGCACCACAGTCCCTGCGCATGTAGCATCTCCCCCCTCACCCGTACATTTAGCAGTAAAAATCAGCCCCAGCAATAAATCCGCACAAGGTGACACTAATAATAACAAAACAAGTACTTAATAAATAACCGGTTTTACTTCAATTGTCCAGTAAACAAAAACATCTGAAACAACTCAAAAAACTCCTGAGACTCCTGGGGTTGGAGCAAGAGTGCAGAGGGAAGGACAGGTAACAGAGCATCATGTGCTTTGCATGCAGCTGACCCAGGTTCTATACCAGGCACCCCAGAAGGTTCCCTGGGCCCTGCCAGGTGTAATTCCGTAGCACAGCCAGAAGTGGCTCCCCAACAAACAAGAAATTCCTGAGATTCTACAAGAGGAATGAGGTATCATGTATTCTGTCTAAAATGTTTTCCTGGGGATGGAAAGATCATATAGCGAGTACCGTGTTTGTCCGGCATGCGGCTGACCAGGGTTCGATTCCCAGCATCCTGTATGGTAGTACCCCAAGAACTGGCAGGAATAATTCCTGAGCACTGCTGGACATAACCCACAAACCAAAAAAAAAAAAAAAAGTTGTCGCAAATGAGATATTAAGAATGGGTAAGGAACAAGCTCCTTTTTAATCTCTGTTGTAACTTTTTGTTTTTCAACTCTCCGATATGTGGGGGCTAGGGAGACAAACCCCGTGGTGTTTAGGGCTTACTCCTGGCTCTGTACTCCAGAATCTCTTGGAGCAGAACTTGGAGGATCATAAGTGCTGCCAGGAACTGAACCCAGGTTTGCACATGGCCGTGCAAGGCAAGTACCCTATCTGCCGTTCAGCCCCTCGTATGCTCTTTTGAATGCAATGAGAACTAAGAGGATATTTACTGCGTGAATTGGGGGGGGGGGGGGGGAGAAGTTTTTTTTTTTAACTTTTGCATGTATTTATTATATCCCATTTTCCTTTAGTAATTACCTATAAAACCCTTAAGCCTTCCAAAAAAAAAAGTTTTCGGAGGTAGAAGTAAAACGGGAAGCTGAAGAAACATGCACCTCTCCAAAGTCTGCATAAGAGAGGCAACTCAAGAAACACGACCTGGCAAAGAAAGGAACATGAGGGACTGATGTGATAGAATGGCGAGTCAGGTGCTTGCCTTGCATGCGGGCAACTGGGTTCAATCCGCCACTCCATATAGTTCCCTAAACCCTGCCAGAAGGGATTCCTGAGCACAGAGCCAGGAGTAAGCCCTGGGCACTGACAGGTGTCAAACAAACAAACAAACAAAAAATAAATACATCAAGGAACAGGAGGACTCCGGGTTTGTACCAAAATAAGAGAACAAGGGACTAGTCTTGGTGAAAAAGGAAGCCCCAGAGCCCATCGTACTCTTCCTGGGGTTGAGACTATTGACAAGCTTCGTATCAGGAGTCAGCTGTGTAGATACAGGAGACGAATGGATTTTTACGAGGCATCTTTTCAGTCTAGTGAATAAGCTCTCCTTTGCTTATCTGCCATTTCCATATTTCTGGTTTATCAATTTCTAGCATAGCACACACAGGGACTATAATCTGGTAGTAAAGACAAGCACATATATGGGTGGGACATCAGAAATACTATGAAGAGACACCGGTTCCACATGACCCAGCAATTCTACTTCTTGAAATCACTCCCAAACACCCAAAAACTCTATCCAGAAAATATATTTGCACTCCAATGCTCATTGCAACCCTATTCACAATAGTTCAAACCTGGGAACAAGCTGAATGTTCAACAACACAGACAACTAGTCAAAGAAACTACAGTACATATACAGCAGAACACTACTCTGCTGTACAAAAGATGCAAATATGCCATTTGTTGCTACATGAAGGGGATGGGAGGGTGGGGGAGTATGGATTTGAAGTTCATCACACGGAGTCAAGTTCAAAAGAGAGGGACAAAGCACGATCCTTTCCTACTTCAGGTATAAAGAAATACAATAGGGGAGTAACAAATGCCCGAAGGGCAACAGAACCTGAGAATTGGTAGACAGCAGGAAGCTGATGGTGGGGAGAATGGGGCACATAGGACAGGTCGGGTGACACTGGGGCAATGGTGAAGGGAAACAGATTCTGGTGGAGGGGGTGGCGATGGAATGACTTATGCAAGAAACCTTGCCAGTAACAGTATTGCAAACCACGGTGCCTAAAATAAATATTTCTTTTGCAGACCACAACACCCAAAAGGAGAGAGAGAACAAAAGGGAATGCCCTGCCACAGAGGCAGGGTGGGAGGTAGGCATGGGGGGTGGGAGGATTACTGGGACCCATGGTGGTGGAGAATGGGCACTGGTGGTGGGATGGGTGTTCGATCATTGTATAACTGAAACCCAAGCACGAAAGTTTGTAAGTCTACAAGTGTACCTCATGGTGTTTCACTAATAAAATTTTAAAAATAAATAAATAAAAAGATTCTTCAATTAAAAAAAAACCTATACCTAAAATATACAATACAAACAAAATCCCCTCCACTACCACCCCATACTGGGGATCTGACCAGAGTCTGTCTCACATATGAAAGGATGGCGCTCTTCCACTGACCCACATCCTGGGCCTCAATTCTGAAGCAGAAAATATTTACCATTGACAATTTTACCGAAACCACTTAACATCATGATCACCCTTAAAGAACAATTTCCGGTGACTAGAGGAAAATCTATCCTAAATTAAAAATTACTGGGCCTGTAACAACCAAAGTCATGCCAAAGGAACCTGAGTTTTGGACGGTGGGTAGGTATGGAAGATACTTGACCGGTAAGCACGCACAAGTTACTTAAGACACTGGAGAGAGACGCCAACTGGTTTTCTTAGCCGAAAAGAGTTCAGTCCATCATTTCACTTTGCCATTTCAAACGCCCTCTCGGTCGGTTGGCCCAGAAAGACCAAAGAGGCGGCATTAAATTTCTGGGTGTGCCAGTAAACAGATGTGTGCCACAAATGCTGAATTTTCCAATAGCCGCTATGTTGGGGGGGGGGGGGGTGAGGAAGAACTGGGGTAAAAAAGCAAAACGGGTGCAAGGAAATAATGCACATGTCTGGGGGCTGGAATGATAGCACAAGCGGGTAAGGCATTTGCCTTGCACGCGGCCGACCCCGGTTCGATTCCCAGCATCCCAGATGGTCCCCTGAGCACCGCCAGAGGTAATTCCTGAGTACAGAACCAGGAGTAACCCCTGTGCATCATCAGGTGTAACCCAAAAGGAGTTTCTTTTTCTTCCCAAAAGGTTAAAAAAAAAAAAAGCCAACCAAACAACAACAACAAAAAAAAGTAAAAAAGAAAAAAAATACATAAATATGGGGCTGGAGCTATAGCACAGCGGGTAGGGCATTTATTTGCCTTGCACCTGGCCGACCTGAGTTCGATTCCCAGCATCCCATAGGGTCCCCTGAGCACCGCCAGGAGGAGAAATTTCTGAGTGCAGAGCCAGGAATAACCCCTGTGCATTGCCAGGTGTGACCCAAAAAGCAAAAAATAAATAAATAAATAAATAAATAAAAATAAATAAATAAATAATGCACATGTCTTACTCAACGATCCGGTCCTCCTGAGTGATGAGTGGGGGGGGGGGGGGGGTCCCTCGGGCTGTTGGAGCTACTCGGAACGGGGACGTGCAACGGGCCACATCCCTAGGACAGCAGCCCAGCCCCGCACCAGGTCCAGCTCACTCCGGGGGTATCACACGGAATCCCCCTCGGCCGGTACAGCCTCGTGCGTCCAACTCCATCCCCCCACTACCCAGCGGAGTCTGGGCCTCCGGTTCCGAAAACAACGGACCGCAGCCCTATACCGCGCCCGCGCCCCCCCCACCCCCACCCCCACCCCCAGACGCTTAACCCGACGCCCCCCGCCCCTTCCGGGGGGAGCGCGACCACCGATCCCGCGAGACGACGTCCCGTCCCGCAGCCGGGACGCGGCGACCCCCGAGCCCGGGACCGCGCAACCGACGCCGCCGTCGAGGGGGTTGGCGTGGGGGGGACCGTGTCTCCCACTCACTCCTCTTCCGAAAGCATCGCGCCCCCCGCCCCAGGAGGGGCGCCCCCCAGCCCGACCCCTTAGAGAAGCGGGAGCGCGCGGTCCACGTCGGAGCTTCCTGCCTCGAGGGGGTGGGGGGGGCGCCTAGAAATTAAAAAAAAAAAGGGGGGGAGGGTCTCGGGAGAATGGGACCCCGCCGGGCGCGCCCACCCCCGGTCCCGGGTCCTACCTGGCGCGGCGAGGCCCCCCAGACGTCTCCCCGCGGGGGCTCTCCGCGCCCCGCCCCGTCGTCGTCGCCGCGGCCGCCGCCGCCCCTCGGGGGCCGGGCGCCCCGCGGCTCCTCCCCCGGGCCCCGGCGCGGCCGCTCGGGCAGCAGCGACGGCGGCGGCGGCGGCGGCGTCGGGCCGCCGAGGTCCAGGCCGCGGCGCTCCGGCTCCCCCGCGCCGCCCGGGCCGCCCGGCCGCCCGCCCTCGCGGCGCTTGCTGGGCGACGCCGCCGGCTCGGCCATGGGCCCCGCGTCGATCTTGCGCTTCCGGGGCGGCGGCGGCTCCGGGGCGCCGCGGGGCTGCCCGGGAGGGGGGATCCAGAGCGGCGGCGGCGGCGGCGGCTCCTCGGGCACGTCGCAGAGCAGGAGCCGCTTCCAGGGCACGTGGAACGTCAGCGGCTCGGCCGCACGCCGCTTGGCCATGGGCCCCGGGGGCGCGGGCGGAACCCGGCCGGCGCGGGCGGCCGAGCGCCGAGGGCTGTGGGGGCGGCGGGGGGGCGGGTTCGAGAGGAGGGGGTGGGGCGGGCCAGGACCCCGAGTGGGCGCGGCGGCGGCGGCGGCGGCGGCGGCGGCGGCGGTCCCCGACGGGGCCCGGGCCAGGGCGGGGCCGGGCGGCCGGGATTCGCCGCCCGAGGTGCGGCCGGACGTTGGCGAGCAACCGCGAAGCGGCGGAGATTCGAACCTGCGCACGGAACGCTCGCGCGCGCGGGCGCGGGCGCGGGCGCGGGCGCACTGGCGCCCGGGGCGGCGGGCCCGCTGATTGGTGGAGCCGGGCGGCGCGCGCTCCCGTGCGCCCCCGCGGCCGGAAGTGCGCGCCGAGAGCCCGGGGAAAGGGGCGGGGCGGCCTGCGGCGGGTTTATTCAAGGTCGCTGGCTGGCTGGCTGGCTGCGGTGCCCCGCCGAGGGCGTGACCTTAGCTGTTTGTTGATGATTTTTGGAGGCACGGAGAAGAGCCAGGTTGGGCTGGCGGGCGAACGGGGAATTCCCTAACGCGGTGTTGGCTTCAGACCCGTAAAAGGAAATGGTATCAAGAATATTCTCTTATCTGGAGCCGCCTCTTGGAGGCTGGGACCGAGAGGAAACACTTAATGTTAGGGGCCCCTAGCGACCTTGCAACGGGGTAGGATGCTGGGGTAGGATGCCCTGCATCCTCAGCATCCTGTATCCCCACCCCCAGCACCGCCAAGATTAATCCCTGGGTGCAGAGCTAGGAGTAAGCACGGATGGATATGACCTGAAAGCCAGAAATAAAATGAAAGGGATTGCGATGAGATTTCCCCCAATTTCAGAGAGGTAGAACGTGACATGCCCTTCCCGCTAACATCTCCTGACCTCCCATTCCAAATCCTATTTGGATATTGAGTGAATAATTCCTTTGTTTATCTTTGTAATTTTAACGTCCATCTATACGTGTGTGACCGGGCAAGTGATTTTTTGATATCCCGGTTTCTCACAGCCTTCTTGAAACTCAACATAAATTTGACATTACTAAAGGTATGTATTGTTGGAAACTCAACATACGTCTGTGAAATCATAATCATGAGATAATGACAATCATCACCCCTAGAAGTTCCCTCTTGCCCTATTTTACTATCTCCTTCTACCCCACCAAATCACCACTGGCTTAATTTCTATCATTAATGACAAATTGGCATTTTCTAGAGTTTGATATAAAGTCAACCATATAGTAAATCATTTGCACTTGGTCTTCTGTCCCTCAACAACAAAAGTATCCTGAGGTTTCCAAAAGGAGATTTACTTGTTCCGTTTTGACAAGCAATATTCCATCTTATGAGTGTGGCAGAATTTAGCTGTTCGCCTGTTGACAGGTTGCCTCCAGCTGGTACAGATAAGGCTTCAGAGAACAAAGTGGGCAAGGCTCTGTTTGGCTGTTACGTTTTCTTTTCTCTAAGGTTTTCATTCTTCTAGGAATGGAATAGCCGGATCCTAAGGTGGATGTATACGTTCAAAATTAAACTTTTTTTTTCTCTTTTGGGTCACACCTGGCGATGCTCAGGGGTTACTCCTGGCTCTGCACTCAGGAATCAGTCTTGAAAGTGCTCAGGATCATATGGGATGCTGGGGATCGAACCTGGTGGGCAGTGTGCCCACCAATATACTATCCAATATACTACCAGTCGGGCCTGTGTTTAAACTTAATTTTTTTTTCTTTTTGGATCACACCCTGTGATGCACAGGGTTCACTCCTGGCTCTGCACTTAGTAATTACCCCTGGTAGTGCTCAGTGGACCATATGGGATGCTGGGAATCAAACCCGGGTCGGCCGCGTGCAAGGAAAACGCCCTACCCTCTGTGCTATCGTTCCAGCCCCGTGTTTAAACTTTTTAAACTTTTTATTAGTGAATCACCGTGAGGTACAGCTGCAGACTCACAAAGTTTCATGCTTGCATTTCATACAATGATCGTGTACCCATTCCTCCATCAGTGCCCATTTTCCACCAACGGTCCCAGCATCCCTCCCACTACCCCCACCCTGTCCTGCGATTAAACTTTTAACAAGCCACCAAACTGGCTTTCAAAAGACTCTGTACCATTTTACCCTCTGACCAGCAGTACATGAGGGTTACAGTTCTACAAATTCGTGCCGACATATGGTATGGCCAAATTTTAATTTTATTCATAACCAATTCTATGAAGTCCACTGTAGTTTTATTTTTAAATTTCACTTTAGCACCATGATTTACCATTTATGAGTGGTAAAGTTTCCATCTCCTCCCCCAATGGCAGATTTCCCTCCGCCAATGTTCTAGTGCCCACCATGTTCCCCGTGGTCAGCTTCCATGGGAGGGTAGAGTGTTCCTTCCCTCTTTGGTTTTGGGACCATTCCCAGCAGTGCTCGAGGGACTATGGCATGTCAGGAATAAAACCTGGCCACCAGCCAAATAAAGCAAAATTTACAATATGAAAATGACAAGTTTTCTTAATACTCTTGATTTGTCCTTTTTGCACTGCTGCTGACTCTTTTCATGCAAGCTAGGTTTTCAGAAATACCCTGTGGGAGCTCTATTCAGTTTGACTAGTTGGTCCGTTGTGTTGGCACAAAACAAATCTTCATCTCTATGTTTGATAGTAATTCTTTGGTACCTGTAGAGAAACCTACACCCCACCCCAACTTTTTAACTCAAAGAACTTAGATGTCCTGGGCTGGAGAGAGAGTACAGCGGGTAGGGTGCTTGCCTTGCACATGGCTGATCTAGGTTTGATCCCCAATACCCCATTGGGTTCTGGGACCGTAACTCACCACCATCACATGTGGCCCATAAACCAAAAGCAGAAACAACTTAGATACCTTTTCATAGGTTTATTCTTAGGCATTTAGTAATTTTTGTAAATTACTTACACCTTCTTACACCATCCTACCTCTTTCTTTTTCTAGTTTCTGGATTGAGTTCATTGTTGCTGCTTTGAAGTCTCTTTAAAAGGCCCATGAAGAGACAGAGAGCTTAAGGTCCGATCCCCAGGTTCAATCTCTGGAAGCTCATGGTCTCATGAGCACTGCTGCAAGCAATACCAGGGCAATGAAAACCTACTGCTGGATATTGCCTAAAATAGACACACAAAGAAGGTGCTCAGAGAGCCTGAGTGTGCTTCACTTCCAGGTGTAAATAACAATCATATTCACAATCAAATTGTCAACTATGTTGACATTTTGTCAATCTCCTGGCGCATTCACTGATTGACTTCTACTTAATCTGGGTTTATTTTCCTTTTCTTTACATACAGTGGCTACTGAAGTTGATTCTAGGAGCGGGAAAGAGTTCAGGAGTTAAGGAGCTTGCCTTGCGTACAGCTGATCCAGGTTCAATCCCTGTCATCACATATGGTCCCCTGAGCACTCTAAGTGATTCCCAAGCACACAACAAGGAATAAGACATGACCACCAGTAAGGGTAGCCCCCAAACCAAAATGTTACTAATCTTAGCTTTTTTCCCCTTTTCAAATACAAACATTTGAAACTAGGAAATGTATTTAAGACATTTGGGGTTTGTTTTTTTTTTTTTTTGCTTTTTGGGTCACACTCAGCTATGATCAGGGGTTACTCGTGGTTCTCCACTTAGCTAATAATGACTCCTGGTGGTGCTTGTGGGACCATATGGGATGCTAGGGATTGAAACCAGATGGCCAGCTGCATGCAAGGCAAATGCCCTACCCGGCCCCTGAAATACATTCTTTGTAATTTCCTTGGTGATTTTTACCTTTTTATTTATTTAACTTTCCAAGTGTCTTGTTTCTCATTTATTTTTGTTACTGATTTTAACTCCATTCTCACGTAATTCCTTGTGGTCTAAAGCTTTAATTTACCAGATCTAGTTTTATGATCCATCATGTATGGAACCACAGATACTGGGCACAGTGCTGAACTTGGTTCTCAGTGGCTGGCAGTACTTTTCAAAGCTTACATCTTTGATTTGTGTGTGTGTGTGTGTGTGTGTGTGTGTGTGTGTGTGTGCATGTGTCACTTTATCTATTGATAAATGACATTAACGTGTTCAGCTATGAAGGTAGATTCTTCTTGAGGAAACTTATTTGTGTAGTTCTATCAAGTTTGGCTTATGGGGCCAGAGTCCAAGTTTGTATGCAGAGGCCCAGATTTATTCTCCAATATCCCATACGCCACCAGGAGTGATCCCCAGGCAGCTGCTGGCTGTGTTCCCCAAATAACCCTACATTTTATCTGCATATTTTTTCCATCTCTTTATTTTTTTTTAGATTTTTAATTCCCCCACTCTGCCCTCCTTGGCTGCTGTTAGACCTCACAGGTCTCAAGTGTGGGCTGTGTTGCTCACATATTTTCAACTGTCATGCTCGATGGGGCTCAAGCATCAGGTGGCAGTACTTACATGCTCAGCTGTGGTTCCCACTATGTCATTGTGGTGCTTGCACACATGCCGCCCAGGCCTGGCAGTAGTGCTCCTACCACGGCCTTGCCAGAGGTCGCACTCGCCCATTCTTTTGAGTCACTATGCTGGGTGTCCCATCCTTTTTTGTGGTGCTTGCTTACATCTGGCTGCAGTGCTGCCTAGAATTGCTTGCTTCACTGGGGGTTGCAAACAGCAGAGCTGCCAGGCTAATGGGAGAGCTGCCAGGATCATGTACAGCAAATGATGGGACACCAGGTAATTGAACTGGCAATGCTGGTGTCTAGTGGGTCCTCTGGACACTCTCTTTATATATATATATGGGAGGGCCTACCCAGTGATGCTCAGGGGTTACTCCTGGCAGTGCTCAGGGGACCATATAAGATGCTGGGTATCAAACCTAGGTCAGGTGCCTGCAAGGCACTCATTGTACTATGGCTCAAGCCTCTCTCTTTGTATATTCAGTATCTCCTGAAGACATCATATTTAATTTGGTCTTGCTTTTCCAAGTGTTCTGACAATTTTTATTTTAAATAGGATGTACAGTGTACTGACAAAATG